CAGTAAATATGAACTAGAACCAGAGTCTGCCTGGCCTGGGTCTTGGGGACACGGGCAAGTGGCAGTTCTCCGGAGCTTCTGGGGGAGGAGACACACAGGCGGTTAATAGTTAAACAGGTGGTAAACACGAGAGCTTCAGGTAAGATGTTGTGGGTCATGAGAAAGTGAGAGTGTGGAAACGTGACCTGGGTTTCTTCAGTCGGAAGGTTTCCAGGCTGGGCGACCCTGTGTCCACCCTCAGCCTGCACTCCTTGCCCGGGTGCCTCGGAGCAGGGGTGAGGGAGGCATGCGGAGACGGGACTGAATGGTGCTGCCCAGGACCTCTGTAGCCTCCCCCCTTCCCCCCCGCCCCCTGGGCTCCGTGATGGGAGTAGGAGCGGGTGTGGTGAGCCGTGCGCCGGGAGGTGGAGCACTGGGTGGAGTCGGCACCTGGGGGCGTGGTGCTGCGAGGTGCAGGCCCTGGAGCCTCCCTGGAGGCCGTCACCCTAGGACCAGCCGCTCTTAGACGTTCTTACTTTTGTCCCAATGATTCCGTTCCTCAGTCTGAATTCAGACAAAGCTCATGGTGCAAACGTGGACACAGCGAGACGTGGTGGGTGGACACATCATGCGTGTTCCTTGCCCGGGATCTTCTGCGGCCTCCGAGAACATTCTCCCACGGACGTCGACATGGGGGACATGCTCGGTCCTCACGGTCACAGAGCAGAACTCAGAACTGCAGCCAGCCCCACGGCCGCGTTAACCAACGCGGATGCCCAGACACAGGAGTGGTCGCCGGGTGCGGAGGGGGTGGGGCCAGGGCCTGGGATTATTACAAAAGTGTTTTTACTTCCGTAAACTTCCCAAAGTGTTTACAGTGTGCTGTGAAAGCTCATGATTTTAAAGAAACAAAACGTGGGGGAGGCTTGATCGCAGAAGGCTCCCTGAAACATGGGTTTGGAGGGGAGCGTGGTGGGGGGTTTGTTGACTTGCAGATACACCCCCAACCCCAGTCACTGTCAATAGGAGTGTGTGTCGCAAAGGCCCAGACAGGTGCCACTTGTCACCTTGGGGGACTGTGGCCAGAGCTCAGCCCTTCCGGGCGGGAGTATCTTGGAGCCCCAAACAACCTTGGGAACCCTCCTAGAGCTCTGGCCCCATGCCTGTCCCTGCCAGCCTGCACGTCAGCAGAGCAGGGACTGGACCGTGCACCCAGCTGGCACAGAGGGGTGGCAGACGTGGAGGATGATGGGGTAGGGGATGAATGAATGAGGGAAGGAGTGAATGAATGAATGAACAAGAAGACGGACGAGAAGGGGAGGCCACCTGGGCTGTGTCCCTGACAGTCTCATGTCCTGTGTCTTTGGCAGACGTGCTGGTGGACGGACAGCCGTGTGACTGCGAGGCGGCGGCCTGCCAGGTGGGCGATCCCATGCGCCTGGAGGTGCGGCTGACGAACCGGAGCCCGCGCAGCGTGGGGCCCTTCGCCCTCACCGTGGTCCCCTTCCAGGACCACCAGAACGGCGTGCACAACTACAACCTGCACAGCGCCGTCTCCTTCGTGGGCTCCAGCACCTTCTACCTGGATGCGGTGCGTGGTCGGGGAGCCCCATGCAGCTCCAGGGTCGTGTCCCACTGCCCCCCAGCCCTCTGGGCTGGCGCTGGTCTGCCTGGCTCACTCTGAGGCCTTAGACAGCTCACTTCTCTGCATCCGGGGCCCTAGGAGTGAGACCAGGGAAGTTCAGGAGACAAGGCGAGAGGGGGTGGGGCCCAGAACAGCTGAGGTCCCCGTTCACTATTGCCCTGCCCCATGCGGTCACCTCCCTGTCTATGGTCACTGCAGGGGCCCAGGGGACTGATGGAGTCACAAAGCTCACCTGGCCCCACCTCCCAGCCTCACAGGGCACAGCCCTCAAGCTCCACCCACGTGACACTGTGCCTTCAGCCCCACCCCCATCCCCACCTGAAGTGCCTCCCAGAAACGAAGCCGAGGCTGGGACAGGTGCAGTGACTGTCCGGGCAGGTTAGAGGTCCCCTGTGGCTCTGGGTTCCGCTGCTCTGGGCTGACACCTCCCTCCTGCCTATAGGTGCAGCCTGCGGGCCAGTCGGCCTGCCTCGGGGCCCTCCTCTTCCTCTACACGGGCGACTTCTTCCTGCACGTCCGGGTGCACGAGGACAGCACAAGCAAGGAGCTGCCGCCCTCCTGGTTCTGCCTGCCCAGCGTGCACGTGCGCGCCCTGGAGGGCCAGGCCTGAGCCCGGGTCCAGCCTGCGCTGTGGGGGTGCCTGGTCTGGCCCCCCAGCCTTTGTTGTAGCTCCTGTCCCTCTTCCAGCCCAGCTCCAGCCCCAGCCCCAGCCCCCTGCATCCCTTTTTCCTGCAGCACCTTTTCTGGGCTGTGCCAAGTATGGAGACACAGCAGCCTCACCCCTCCCCGCACTGCCCACCACGGACCCTCTGCTGGAGCCTGGCACTAAGGCTGATGCTGCCCAACCCCAGGGGGCAAGGCTCACCTACCCAGCTGGGAACCTGCACCTTGGGATCACAGCCCAGCCAGGGTGGGCCTGCAGAGACGCCCAGGCCTCAGAATCCCCCCAGGGCTGGCCCTTCTCCCTGAGCCCCTGAGGCAGCCCCTGTGCCAGATGCTGGGCAGTGTCCGGGCGGGGCCCCAGGGACCATGGCCTGTGTGTATCTGTGTGTCTGTGACAAGTTCTCCAATAAAGGGCCTGCCTGGCTCCCTGCTGGTCCGCCTGCCTCCGTCGGTGGGCAGGGGCCGCCCCAACTCAGGTGAGGGTTCCAGTGCACGGGGTTCTGATCAGAGACCCCCACGACACATGGCTGGTGGCCAGGAGGGCTGAGCCTGGCTCTGTCTGTCTCGGTGACCCCACAGCCCCTTCCACACATGTGCTTCTTTGGCCTGGCTCAGAACACGAGGTCCAGCCCCACCCTGGTCCCCGGTCCCCAAGGTGGCGCTGGCCATGTCAGCCTCTTGCTCTCTCTTCACCCTGTGACACTGTCCACAGTCCCTCTGGGGCTCTGGGGCCATGCCCAGGTCTCCCAGGCCAGGCTGGCTGGTTGGCAGGCTGTTTGCTGCCCAGAGGTGCTCGCAGGGAGGCAGGGGTGCAGCCCGGCCAGGTGGGGGCTGTGTGCCCAGAGAAGGCCCTTATTCTGCTTGCGGAGCTGCCATGGGGCTGTGGTGCCTGTCCTCCCCTTCCGCCTCCACCGTCCCAGGCCTCGCCCCTCATGGAGCTGCGCCCTCGCAGCCCTCCCTCCCCTTGGCTCAGGGCAGGAGGGAGGCCGGGCCTTGGCTACACCTGGCCCAGCAGCGGCCCAGGAAGGGGCTCAGTTAGAGGTTGCACAGCAAAGCCTGCACAGGACGAGCTCAAGCAGTCCGTCTGGGAAGTGGGGTTCCCCTGGGGCAGCGAGGGAGCCCTGAGGGGCCCTGCCACAGGAACCCTGGCCCCCGAAATCCTCAGGGGAATCTGGAGGGAGAGAGTCCCCCAGCCAGGGGCGGCTGAACTGGCCTGTGTGTCCCCGGAGTTCGTTCCTTGGTCCCGGCCCCCAGTGCCCCACCCTTGCTAGGAGGATGACCCGACCCCTGCCTTGGGGTGTCCCCAACAGTGACGTCCCAGGGAATCCTGGGGCAGGGAGCAGGGAGTGGGCTTTTGCCGAGGCAGGCATATGTGATAGGAAGAAATTGACATTTGTCCCTGCCTGGTTCCTGACCTGGAGCACTCCTCACCCCCTCCATCCCTTGGCATTCCCAGGCAATGGGAGTGTCTTTGTCCAGCAAGGTGACTCTGGGTGGGCCCCTGGGTGGGCCCCTGGTGGCGTCAGGATGGGACTGGTCGCCGAAGGACCAGCGTCCTTAGGAGCTGGGAGCCGCCACCCCGCCCTGCCTGCCCTGGATTGGGTTCGGGACCCATCCTGCCCACCTGGGCTGCGGGGAGCTTCCTGGTGAACGCACTCACGGTCACGCGGGAGACGCAGAAGCACCTGCCCCTGGACCCCTCCGGACCTCACTGTGCTTCGCTCCATCCGCCGCTCACCTGCATCCTTTGTCACGTCCCTTGTGGTCACCTGGGAATGTAAGTAGGTGTTTGTCTGAGTTCTGGGCTCTATCATAGCCAACTGTCAGGCCTGGGGGGCCAGGAACCCCAGCACACTGCTGGCTGTTAGAAGTGGGGGGCCTGCACCTGCGCTGGCGTCTGAGCTGGGGCCGGCCAGTAGGACCGAGCCCTGACCTGTGTGTGGGGTCTGTGCCCACTCTGGTAGGCAGTGTGAGAACTGACTGAGCTGCGGACACCAGCTGCTGTGGGACAGGGTGGGCGTGGTGTGTCGTGTGCAGGGGCCCGGCCGCCCAAGGATCCCGAAGTCTTTTCAGCTGCTGTGGCTCCAGGCTCCACAGGAGAGCAGCCCTGAGGTGGCGGGTGGGGACCGGAGAGGACTCTCCAGCAGAGGTGGCCACAGCCCTTTGCTCAGGACACTAGAACTCTCCAGGGCCCTGTGACCGTGTGTCCACAGCTCCCCGGACAGGGTCGAGTCTGGGCCGTCCCATCCTGGACCCGCCGTACACACAGAGGTTGTGGATGGACACGCCAGGCAGGAGGCCTCGGGCTGGGTGGAGTCCAGCTCAGTCCCCTGGTGCCAGGGTCCGATGAGGGAGCCCAGGCAAAGGGCCACTGCTCCGCCTGTACACAGTTGGCGCTCAATAATGGCAGTCAGCCCCTCCAGCCAGGGTCTGGGAAGGCACCGGTGTGTCCCCCGGTGCCCCTGGTTCCCGCTGACCCCACGGCAGCCCTGACTTCTCGCAGCACCGGCCCGACTCCGTGCATCTCCTCCGTGTTGTCAGGTGCTGGGTTATTCCTAATATTCCTCTTCCAGGCAGGCGGCGTCCGGGTGCCAGCCCGGGGCCCAGCCCCCCTGAGGCCAAGGAAGCACAGCCCGAAATTCGGCGTCCTTTCCCCTCAGCAGTGGGCGGCGTGGCTTCGCCCTCTGACACTTGTTCCCTTCGGCCTGCAGTGGCCCGCAGTCACCCAGCCGTCACACTGTCGCCTAGAATTCACCCAGCAGAGCGGGGATCCAGAAGGTGCCTGAGGCGCGGAAGCCCAGCCCCGCCCCTGGCCGGCTCTGGGACCTCACACCGTCACTGACAGGAAGCCGCATTGCTGTCATCTGCGTGATGGCAGTAAGAGCACTACCTCGTGGGCATGTGCGCTAGTGGTTGGCCTACATCCCCTTGACGTGCCCACACGTGATAGCAAGTCCTCACTAGCTAACGCTGGGCCCCGCCTGCCCTCCCACGCCTCCTTGTCCTCCCGGCCACGCGCCTGACCACTGTCCCCCGGGAAGCTGGCCACGCGCCCTCACTGTTCCCTTAGACTCTGCTCATTGACCAGGTAGCGAGGGGCAGTATCAGGCGCTTTCCGCACAGCGGCTCCGGGGAGAGGGGCTGCCCATCGAGGGAGTGAGCCCCGTGACGTCACGTTGAGCTGTTTGCATTCGGGTCGAGGCTGGACCTGTGGATGGTTTAGAAAGACACGGCGTCAGGTGATGCCTCTGAGCCGCCAGCCTAGGAGCCCCGTCCTCCTGGTGGCTCGCGCCAGCCTGGGCCCCGGGCGCAGAGAGGAGGCGGGGAGCCTGTGGTTGCCTGGCCCCTAGGCCTCGGAACCATGGCCTAAGGGGTTAAGGCAAATAGTAAAGATCCAAAGGTGTTACCGTGATGGACTGGGGCACAGACTAAGCCTCCTCCTGAAACTGACTGAGTGATGGCACTTCTATTAGACACGTGGTGATGCCCCCGCGGGCGGCAGGGGAGTAAGAGCACCTGCCTGACCTGTGTGGGCAAAGCCCCGAGAGGGCGGGGTGCCGGCTCGCCATCCTCACAGAACTGGGAAGGGGAGGAGCGAACCACGCCCACCCAGGTGGGGAAGCTCAGGGGAGGCTGCACCCCATTAATTTGGGAACCCAAAGGATTCTACTCTGAGTGAGGGGTGAACTGAAAATGCCCCCTTCCCTACTCAGAGAGTGGAAATAGAACTGTCCGGTCTCCACGCTTTGATTCCACCCAAATTGGCCCTCCCGTGACCTGCAGTCCCAGGCCACACTCCCCCAGCCCCACGTCCTTCATTAACTTGAAAGTGGTCCCAGACACCCAGCGCCCCCACCGCCACGCAGCAGACGGCTCGCAGAAGTAAACACATCCTTTCTGGAAGAAGCCACTTCTGTCCCAAATCTCCAAGGCAAATGAATAATTCAGTTCTAAAAGAAAGAAAATCATCAAACACACAAGGAAACAGTGCATCATGTGTGAGGGCAGAACAAAGGCAGCAAACCGGGCTTGAAGGAGAACCACGCACCGGCTTCCTCAGACAGACTGTGAAATCAGTGCCTTACTATGTCACAAAAATGACAAAGAAGATGAAAATGGGTGAAGATTGAGAGCATCACAAAAATAATCAAGTGGAAGTCCCGTAACTGTGACAGAACTAAAATTAAATACTTAATGAGTGCATTGAAGGCAGATTAAACCCAGCTCGAGGGAGACGAGTGAATGGAAGATAGAGCTGGCGACGTTATAAAAAATGCAGCTCAGAGAGGACAGACAATATGAAAGAGACTAAAAACCCACAGCCAGCAGGGTGAGGACGCTCACATCGTCAGAGTTTCTGGAGGAGAGGACAGGATGGAGCAGAGGCAGGATGGGAAGGGGCATGACTGAGACCCTCAGAACTGATGGGACAAACCCCACACTTCCGGAAGCCCCACCAAGTCCGCGGAGCATAACATTGAACATACACAATAGACTCATCATAATATGATTCCAAACACCAGACGTGAAGGGGTGATTGCTGAGGAGCTAGAAGACAAGGCAGACCACCCTAAAGAGGTGGCACCTTGATAGCTGACTTTCCGTCCGCCACAGCAGAGTCCAGATGTCAGTGGAGTGACATCTGAGTGACACCAACACGTTCTAATAGGTGAAACAGCAACATTCTTACGGAAACAAAACCCAGGGCTCTCCGCCGCCAAAGCCTCACTAAACGGAATTCTAGAGAATAAACTCCAGGCAGAAGGAATCAATATCTGACCGTTGGAAATGCAGGAAAGAAGGACAGCAGCAATGTGGGTAAATCTGAACCAGCACTGACTGTCAGTCATCACCATCAGCATGAATTACCGAGTGGCAACATCACAGACCTAACGTACAGCAAAATAACACACGTTAGTGAGGGGAAGACGGAGTCAAGGAGCGCGAGGTGCTTTAATTTTCATTTCAAAGGCTCGGGAGGAGGATAAATATATCAATTAATTTAGATGTAAGCTTTCGTGCTTTAGTTACAGAACTTCAGTTTCTGGGGTGACCATTAAGAAAGTAAGAAAGTGCATGCACAAGTTCTAAGCTGGATGCTCAAAAAAGTTAAATAAGGGAAAAAATTATTCAGTCCAAATGAAGACAAAAAAAAAAAAAAAGAAAGAAAAATGGACCAAATGAATAGATGGAAATGGCAGAACAAACAAAACCGCGCTGTAATGGTAATGGTACTATTATCTTTATGTTGTAGTTGAGAAGCGTGAAGCCCAGTGGATAAGTAGCCAGAAGTGGTTATGAAACGAGTTGTCGAAATGAAGTATGTCAGTACTTACAATAAATTAAAAGACTATCCCAGATAAAAGACTAGACAACAACCGCAAAAATCAGGTTTATGATATTTACAGGAGACACTAAGACAAGGATGTGGGAGGAGGTTGAAACAGAATGGCAGGAGAAGATGTTCCAGAAGAATCCTAATGAAAAGAACGTCTAAAGCAAAAGTGAATGACTTCGAGAAATAATTACATCATGATGATAAAAACAGTGACCTCGCCAGGAAGCTATACTAACTCCAAATACACATGCAACCAGTAATACAGTCTCAAACGCATAAAGTAAAACCTGATAGAATTACAAGGAGAAACAGACAAACCTCTCTCAGTAACTGAAAGATCAAGGAGACAGAAAGTGTTAAAGATTTGAAAGTTTCAACCAACACATTTAATCTGAGGGATTTATATAGAATACTTCACTCAATGGCTGTAGAAAGACATTTTTATCAAGCACACATGTTGAGATTTGCTGTGGCCCAGCATGTAGTTGAAGGACTGTCATCACAGACATACATTCTCTGAACCTGATATGCTTGAGTTAGAAATCAGCCACAAAAAGATAATTATAAAAGTCCCATGGATTTGGAAACTAGGAAACACTTTTAGATCACTAAGGGTTGAAAGAAGAAATCGCCGTGGAAAGCAGGAAATATTGACATTGAACAATAGCGAAGTATATATCAAAACTGTACAATGCTGATAAATCAGTATTTAGAGGGATATTTTATAAACTTAAATGCTTATATTACCAAGAGGAACGTGTGAAAGTTAGCCATCCCCAGGTGCTGAAAAAGATGGCAGGAAAGATCATCGAGAAGAGAAGAATATGATAGAGATAAGATCATAAATTAATAAAATAAGAAAAACCCACAGTAGCAAAAAGCTAAAGGTTGTTTTTTGAAAAGGCTAATAAAATCAAGAAGCCTCTGACTGGATTAATAAAATAGAAAAGACACAAATAGCCACATGTCAAACAAAGAGGGGACATCAGATACCACAGACAAGGATGGGAGGATATTAGAAGAGGAAATTATGAAGAACTTTACACCAATAAACTTCAAAACGGAAATGAAATACAATTTTCTAGAAAACACAATAAACATTAAAATTTTCAATAACAATAAACAGAAAAACTGAGTAATCTTAAAGCCATTGAAGAAATCAACTCAGTAGTTAAAAATCTTTTTGTCAAGGAAATTCTAGGCCCAGATTGCTTTTACCAGTGAATTCTAATTCAAGAAACAAACAAACTAAAATCCAAGTGTGCCCAGAATATTTCTGAATGTGGGAAAAGGGGAAAATATTTAGTTATTTTTCATAAGGCTAGTATGGCCTTGATACCAAACTTTGCAAAGACAGCCTAGAAAAGGAGATTTCAGGCTAAATCATGCATTCATGTAGGGGCAAAAATCTGAATCTAAATGTTAGCAAACAGACTCAGTTGTATGTGAAAAAGGTAACATATTGTGGTCGAGTTGTACAAAGAGAATGCAAGGTTGGTTTCACATTGGACAGGATGTTGATAATCTACCACATTGTCAAGTTAAAGAAGAAAAATCATATGAACATTCTTGTAGATATGGGAAAGTCTTGATAAAAGTCGATATCACCCTTCACCCCCCCCCCCCAAAAAACAACAACAACAAACTCCTAGAGAGCTAGGTCTAGAGAGTTTTTTTTAACCTGATAAAGGGATATATATAAAAAATATACATACGGCAAACATTCTTCTCAGTGTTGAGATGTTGTAAGCACTCTAAGGCAGGAACGGAACAAGGATGCTTGTTGTCTCCACATGTGTGCGTGGCCCAGGCCAGCACGGAAACGCAAAGACAAGAACCCACAGAAGGCACACGGGCTGGAAAGGAAGAAGCAGAGCCGTCGTTATTGACATCGTGTGTTGTCTACTACATAAAGGATCCGCAGGTTTATTAGAATCGGTGCTTAGCAAAGTTGTCAGATACAAAAATCTATACAGAAAAGCCGTCGCATTTTTATAGCACAAATGACTAGAAAATGAAACGGGCTCCCTCTTACAGAACTACAAAAAAAGGTAGACTCTGTGGTTGGCTGAATAAGGGCATCCCGAAGATGGCCACGTCCCAATTCTCAGAGCCTGTGGGTGTCCGACGACGAAGAGTAAGTACAGGCACAGGAAAGATTGAAGTTGCCAATCACTCACTTTAAAACAGCGAGATCACCCAGGGGCCTCAGGGTAGTCACAGGCGCCCTGGGAAGAGAACCAGGGGGGCAGCGTGGGGATTTAGCCTGATGCTGCTGGGGGCCGAACGGCCCTCTCACAGGGGCCGCCTACGACCATCGGAAACACATATATAATTACATATTGTTTTTGTGGTTCATCACGATGCTTTATTTATGTTCAATTTGTAACAATGAAAATACATCCTGCATATCAGATAGTTACATGACGATTCATCACAGTAGCAAAATTACAGTGATGAAGTAGCAACTCAAATAATTTTATGGTTGGGCGTCACCACAACATGAGGAACTGTATTAAAGGGCCGCGGCATTAGGAAGGTTGAGAACCACTGCATTAGAAGCTGGAAAAGGCCAGGAAAGGGATTCCCGCTACGAACTCCATGAAGAACAAAGCCCTCCTGAATCCTTCACTTTTGCCCCGAGAGACTCCTTTTTAACGTCTGGCTTCCGGAACAGTAAGGTATGACATTTGTGTTGTGTAGGCCGCTAAGTGGTGACAGTGGCAACAGGAGATGGATGCACCGCCCAAGAGTACATTTTCAATGTGCCAGACCCTCATGGACCAAGAGGTAACAGTGTCTTGGAGGACGTTAAAGAGGATCTAAGTGGGTGGTTAGGAGACTGTCTCAAAGATGTAAATTTTCGCCATATTGATTTATGGACTCAGTGCTGCAGTAATAAAAAGCTTAATTTCTTTGGGTGAAGCTTGGCAAGCTGATTATGTGGAAATGCAAAGATCCAACAATAACCAACATGCTCTTGAAGAACAGGTGGACATGTAGTACAATGGTAAACACACGGAATAGGGACCAATGGAAAACCCAGAAGTGACTCATGCGCAGATGGACACGGGATGTGTGAACTGCTGCGGCCATGTGCCAGGGAAGAGGCTGGGCTCTTCCTTAGATAGTGCTGGGAAAGTAAGCGGGTAGATGTGGGCAAGGGAGACCTCGGACCCTTTACTCACCGTGTACAAAAATCTATTCTCGGTTAAGACCTAAATGTGAAAGGCAAATTATACAACATTTAGAAGACATTATAAGTAGCTTTTTTTTTTTAAAATATATATTTTATTGATTTTTTACAGAGTGGAAGGGAGAGAGATAGAGAGTTAGAAACATCGATGAGAGAGAAACATCGATCAGCCGCCTCCTGCACATCTCCTACTGGGGATATGCCCGCAACCCAGGTACATGCCCCTGACCGGAATCGAACCTGGGACCCTTCAGTCCACAGGCCGACGCTCCATCCACTGAGCCAAACCGGTCTCGGCAAGAAGACATTATAAGTAGCTTTATGGCCTTGGTTAGAAACAGATTTCCTAAATGAGACACAAAAACCACATCATAAAATGATAAATTCTATTATATTAAAATTAAGAACTTGTGTTCCTCAGAAGATTTCATAACGGAGGTGGAAAGACAGGTCACAAACGGGGAGAAGTACGAGGAGGGTCTACCACTTTAATGAGCTTATTCAAACTGGAAATGATGTAAGTCACTTTTGCTCACAACCCACAGAGAAGAGCAAACGACAGGGCCCCGCCTGGCCGCGAACGGGGCCTGGCCGCTGTAGAGAGGAGGGGGAATGGGATGCGGTGAGCACCAGGAGTCTATACCAGGCCTAGCAGAGTTGAGCTGGTCATATCCTATGACCCAGTGACCCCACTACCATTCCATATCTTAACAAATACTTTGTGGTTTGCCCAACACAAGCCACATCCCAGAACACTTATGGCAGAATTGTTCATAGTAGGAGAAAAGGACCTAATTCCAGTGCCCTATTAAGAATGGAATGCGTCACTCCGTTGTGGCCGATTTGTGTAGCAGAACAGAATACGGTGGTGATTATGGAACAACACAGGTGCTCGTCAAAAGCATAGCGTTGATGGACTAAAGCAGGCAGCCAAAGAATACCTGTGGCATGATCTCAATGACACGGAGTCTCCAAAGCAAACCCATGTATTTATTAAGGCTCCATACACAAGTTGCTTAAAAAAAATCCTGTAGAAACAAAAAGTGAGCAACGGACACAAAATTTAGCGCCAGTTCCCTGTGGGTGAAGGGGAAGGATGGGACTTGAAAGGGGCAAACGGAGCTTGGGGATTAGATGATGTTCCATTTATTCTGCTGGGCAGTGGAAACTTAATTCCATGCCTCGCTCCAAAAATTGAGATGTTTTGAGTCAGCCCCAGGTGATGCGAATTGTCAAAGACATGGCTTTTGGTAAAAAAAGATCCTTTGGCACCGATTCAGCGAACCAATAAAGAATTCTTCCCTGCGTCCACCTTTAGAATTTAGTTTGCCATTTCAAACCTGCTGATTAATCACACTGTGTCCCTGGCAGCTGCCCAGGCCAGCTCCTCTGTAGACGGGGAAGTGAAGTGGGAGCCCTGGGCAGGAGGCCTTCAGCACCATGGACAGCGCCTCGAGGCTGGCTCTGCAGAGACAGGCTGCTCAAGGCATCTCAGAGTCAGAGAAGGCCAAAGTCATGGTCCAGCCACCTAGTGAGTGAGCTGGTGGCAGGAGAGGGGCTAGAACCGAGGCCTCCTGACACCTAACCCAGCGTTCATTCCGTGGCCCTAGCTTTGGGTACATGGACGACTGGAACTCCTCTGTGAGCCAGCAAGTCACTGAGGGTGGGGTGGGAGGGGGACTTCCACGTGTGGCTTCCACGTGTGCCATTGAAAGCTTGGGCTCTGCGGCCGGTCTCGGCAGGGTTCAGATCCGGACTCTGCCCTCGCCATCTGAGTGCTCTCGGAAGTCGCCGCACCTCTCCAGGCCCCTGCCAATCACACCAACTCCCTGCAGATGGCCAAGATTCTGTGCTGTGCGATGGACCACACGCTCAGCACCAGGTCCTGGGCACCGGGGCGCAACTAAAAACAGGCGAATGCTTTCAGCTGCTCCCTCGGTGGGTTTCAGATCAGAAAGGAATTGGTTTTATGGAATCGTTGGTAAGGTGTTGGAACAATATGACCTCTCGGAGCCTGTTCTCGAATAAACCCCACACGGTTTCCATGTGAAATCGTGGCATTGGTGACCAGACAGATATGAAGGCTCCTCGACTGTCTTTGCTCTGCCCAGTCCTGTTCTTTTGAGCCCCCTGATCATTGCCTAACGTGTCCCGACTCTGTCTCCCCAAGAGACGCTCAGAGAAGAGGGGTGACAATATGCCTACAAAGTGTCCCCAGGGCCAAGGACCCTCGCCCACACTCGCATTCCTGCAGGAAACCTGAAGGGTAAGGTATTGTTCTTTATGTCCGTTGCTGGATTCTATTTGCTAGCATTTTATTTTAGGAACTTTTATTTATATTCCTCAGTGCCATCGGCCTGCAGTCCCCTTATTCTGTATTACTTGTACGCAGGTTATTGTAGATACACAGGATGAACAAGAGCATTTCTCTCCCATCTCTCTCCATGACCCCAAATAGTTTCCATAGCACCGACAGGATTAGACCTTCAGAAATTAGATGCACCTCGGCCGTGCGCCTGTCTGATTCTGGTGCCTTTTCCCCGATAAATCTTCAGTCACCTCCTAATCTCTTTTATGGTAATTGGTCTATTAACATTTTCAATTTTTTCCTTGGACTGATTTTGGTAATTGACTGATACCAGGAAACTGTCCATGTCCCTGAGGTTTCTCAGAGTTGCAGGCAATAGTCTCATAATTATTTTTATCTCCCCTGTATCTGTAGTTATATTGGTACGTCAGCCTCCTTCATTCCTAATCTTGTCTAATTTTACCATCTCTCGCTCTTTGTGCCCTGCAATGAGACTCACGAGGGCTGTTTTTTACTTTATTAGCCATTTCAAAGAACAAGCGTTTGCAGTTACGTATTCTTTCCACTGTTTAATTTTTTTTCCTGTTTCATCAATTTCGCTTACCTTTATGAATTTTCTCTTTCTCATTTCTTTTGTTGTTTTTCCCCTAATTTCTAGCCAAGCACAAGAGCTGGCGCTACGGCTAGTCTTCCCGTGTCTGGTGAAGGCCTTTCCGGGGGCGCCTTCCCGAGCCGTGGGCTCCCCTCTGTGTGTCCTAACCCAAGGCTTTTCCTTTTCCTCGTTTTCCAGCAGTTTCTCCTTTGATTTTCCCTGTGAGCCAAGAGTTATGTAGGAATGTTTTGCATTTGCAAGTAGTTGGAGGGTTTGGGGCTTCCCTGTTATTCTTTATTTCTCCTTGCATTGGGCGTGGCCAGAGCACGGAGGCCTGTGAACAGCTGCATTCGTGTGTCCCTTGAACTTGGTAAGGTTTCCTCACTGACCTGCCAGATCCTGCCTCTCACCAGTGGCCTGTGGGCATATGACCATGTATTCGCTCTTTGAGAACATATAAAGTGTGTGTCACACACCTCCACATGCGTGGGCTGCGTTATTCTGGTGTTATTACTTTGGTGTTTTAAAATGTCAAAGGAAAGCACCGGGACTCAGTAGCTGTGCCATGACGCCAGGCTTGTTTCTCACTGAGGTCTTAGTGAGAGAGATCAGCCTCCTGCATTCCACCCCTCCATCCCTCAGCTTCCCTCCTCGGTAGAGAAGGAAGCGTCCCTGGTAACCGTGGCCCCAGCCCTGCCCGGAGAGGTAACGTCCTGCGATCTCCTAAGACTCCACCCACATCGCGTTCCCAGTTGTCCCT